AAGTGAGCTAACTCCTGCCCGAAAATGGCAAAGGGTCAAGCTAGTGAGACAACAGCTGGAGTAAGGTGATCTGAAGAATTCTTTGAATTTTGGTTGATAAATACAGTATATTCCATGTTTATATAATTGTGTGCTAGCTGTTATGATAACTATACCTGCAGTGTAGCTGTGTGCTTCTGATTTAAAATGTCCCTTAATTCTTCTGTCTGTGGTTTACATGAGTTACATATGATTGCATCTGATCCTCACAACATACTTGGGAGCTAAGGAAGTACCATCCTTCAGATGTGCTTGGGGAACAGATAATGCAGGGAAATCCTTCCTTCACTTGTCTAGAAAATAGTCTTTCTCCCTTTTCTACTTTCAAATTGTATTTGTTTCCAAGCTGGACAGAATGAAAATATATAAAGTGTTAGACCTGTGCTAGGTTTAAGTCCATTTTTTTACCTTCATTGGAAATTCAGCATTAAGTCATTGGAAAATGGGGACTGCTTCTGAGTGGGTGAGAGTAGTTAGCAAAGCTGCTCCATCAGCAGGGAATTCTTAATGCCAATACGGACAGCCAAGAGCAGAGGAGTCAGTCAAATACAAGAGAGAAGGGGAAGGAAGGAGGAGCCCTGGAGTAGAAGTGAAATCAAATATACTAGAGGAAGAAGGGAATAACCTACTTGAATATTGAGTAACAGCTTGCAATTCAGTTTCAGTATGTAATTTCAGTAAATTCACACTTACCAAACAATTAAATATGGGTAGTCACTACTTTAGAGTACCAGTGCAGGCAGAATTAGACTGCTCAGTGATTAATTAAGTGCTGTGAGTGGTTTGATTTCTGGGTCAGTTATACCAGTCCCACTCAAAGGGAAACTTTGATCATATGTGAAATCTGCCTTATAAAATTTGAATTTTAAAACAGTGGCTAAAACCATTTATGCTTTTATTTGTTGAGGGTTATTAGATTAGGGTGTTTTGATTGTGAATTCTTTCAGGTTATTGTCATAAAAAGTTGAGTACAGTTTGAAGCTATCAGGTCTTTACAGGAAAAAAGCAGTGGCTGTTCTGTCACATAGTTTGTTTGCAAATATGATTACTGCCTATTAATTTAGGATTAATAGAGTGTAGAATGAAAGAAGTTGTTGCTGCTGATGTTAATCATGACAAAATTAAATGTTTCACAGAGAAAAGTAAAAAAGGAAACTTATTTCAGGGTAACAAAAGCAGCAACTAGAATGTAAGAATCTTGTCCATCTCGGACTTTTTTCAGTCAAGGGATGTAGTCACTGCCATGTTGTGTTGTGTGCTGTCTCCTCTTTTGTTACTCAGCACTTTGCTTTCACAGGCAGGTGCCAAGAAAAACTAAACCTTCTATAGCATTTTGCTTTGTCAAGATCCAAGTGCCTTTTTCTCTCTGTCTTAAAAGACAGAGATGTCCTAACTCAGCTGAATAGATATCCAGTAGGAGTCTTTTAGCCACTTTACTTAGCTGTAGGAAATTTGTACAAATTCAAATAAAAATTCAAAGAATGGCCTATCCAAATAACTCTTCTGATCATCATTAAGTTTTGGAGTATATTGTTTTTCTTATTCTGCTGAAGATTTTATTATGTCGCTTACCTTTTCTCAGCACAGTAGACAGTACAGACCACTTTTTGGTTGAGTTGGTCTTCTAGTATGAAGCAGAAATTTTTCTCTTAGCTCTGCTGGTTTATGCTGATTTTTCATAGCTGACAGGTTAATGAACCTGTTGCTTATTTGTATGTGATGGGTTTCTGGAAGGTGGGATGGGTGAGTTTATCAGAATGTAGTTTGTAGAACATCATTCACAAGAAGAAAACATTGGTTTTCTAAGGTTCCCAGACCAGGTATGCAGTGACTGTTATCTCAGCCAAGTAGACATCTGTGATTCAGTTAAGGCATGGCTGTTGCAGAAGGAATGTCCCAGCCAAAGAGAAAACCCATGGTGATTTTAAATGGCATTAAATGGCACCATTTAAAAAAACATGAAGGTATAACTGTTTATCTGGGAAGATGGGGAGCAGTATTTCAGTCCCTGTTTTGACCTGACCAAAACCTGATGATTAAGAGGTTCATTTCCCCTATTTCTGGCATATGTTCCTTTTCCAGGGATGATGCCCATTTGCTTGCTTGGCTTTCAAAACCTGAGCTTCATATCTATGAGGAGACTCAAAGGGTAAATTCATACATTAATCCAGAGTTTCTCTTTCTCATGTGTCGTGGAGAAATGAATGTGTTTGGCCATACTTTCTAGGTTTTTGGTTTCATCTTGAAATGTGTTTATAGCCAGCCATTTTCCTGTTACAGCTTCTCTTTTGGCTGGCTGACTTTTCAGCCCAGTAGTTTTTCACTGACCTGAATTAGGAGAAATGTATTCCTAGCTGACAGACTTCTGCCTATTTGTGGACTTACTTCTTTCCCCTGTAACGTTCTACTTTGTGTCAGGTCCCTGTTCTGGAGGAGAGGCATGCTTGCATGTTAGTCCCATTGCAAATGAAAGGAAAAAACTGCAGTTGCCTAATGGGAGAGGTTACAGGGCATATCTTAAGTCTCAGTAGTGTCCTTCTTTTTCTGCCAGTCTTGCTTTAGCCTAATTAGCTGCCATGTAGATCAGAGCGGGAGCCACCAGGAAATAGAATGGTTTCTTCAAAGCCTTGTGCACTGTGGTGGTTTCAAAGGAGTGCAGACAACTGATGCTGTGGATTCTGCTGTCCTAGAGCCTGGAGCAAGGATTGGGTCCTTAAGGTCCTACATTTGCTGCAAATTGAGCCAGCCATCAAACTAACCCTTGTACAACTAAGTTACTGCCTTTTCTGTTGCCTAATCCAAAGAGGAAACTACAATAGATTCAGTAGAACTGGTGAGTCCCTATAAGCACAACTAGTGAATCTGTCATCACTTGCTGCATAAGAAGCCAAAGTTAGCTGAAGCATTGTTCTTTTATGTAACACAGGGAAAATGGCTCTGGTCCAGGTGATCCAGAAGCCTGAGGAGACAGACCATCCTGTGATGTTGGCCTGATCCGCTGTAAATAGTTCTGGCTCAACTCCCCTCTTCTGTCTGCTGTTTTTGGTGAGGGGAGGGGGAAGGCTGTGTGTTTCCTAGGCACTGGGAAAGCTCTGTTTATGAACTAGATCTACCCATGCTGTGATCCATGCAAGAACTGCTTTTAGTACATGCACAGAACCAAGTGTGGGGGCAGAGAGTGGTTTGTGAGTGCTTGTACAGAAGTGTCTGGATAATTAACTCAGCCATTAGGTAGGAGCATTTAAATCTTTGAAGATGTTTTCTGTGGGAAATACAGGATAATCATCTCCTCAGGCACCCAAAAGAGACAAGGTTAGATTCTAATGTCTGCCCAGATTGCACATCAGGAATTTAGGTGCTGGTTTTGAGTCTCACCTGGAATAATTTGTTCCGTGTCACCAGGATTTAAACCTAATCTTACTGCCAGGTAGCACTCTCATCACTTGGGCATCTTTACTAGCTCATCTGTCTCCACTGACAAGCTGGCACAGTACAGTGAGGGCTCTTTTGGGAACAAATGCCAATTAGCAGGGGAAGGCAGGAGTGAACACAGACCCTGTCACAGGGGGTATTCCAGGACAGCAGGGTTACTCTGTGTTCAGGTGCTCTCATGGCAGCATTCTAACCCTTGCATTTGGGAAAGTTAACCTTTCCCATAGCTGTATGTGAAAGGTCTTTGATCTATGAATGAACCCAACACATGGTGCTTGTTCACTGTATGTTAGCAGCAGAAATACTATTTTTAGCTCCCAAATTATTATTCTTTACTATTAGAGCTGAAAGACCTTTCATCCTTAAGGCAGGCAACTTCACAACAGTGTATTGGGGACAATGTGCCACATGAAGCCGACACTTCCATTGGGAACAATTTTTTTCAGAATGGGTAAATGGCTTTTAAAATAGCCATTAAAAATCTAAACAAAGTAGTCATGTTTTATAAAGTTCTAAAAAGAACTGTTGTCTTTGGAACATGTAATTTGCAGATCTCACTGCAGTAATCCTTGATTTAGAACAATTACAGCACTAAGTACTTGCCTTTTTTCTCCTTTAAAAAACAAAACCAAACCCCAAACCAAAAGCCAGACAGGTTTCCAGCAAAGGCTGGGATAATTGAATGGAAACATAGCCAAGTCTTGCAAAACTCCAGTATACAGTTGCTATTCTCTCAAGAGATATTTTCTCCTGCCATCTGAGAGCCTGGTCACTTGTTTTTCTTTTTTTTTTTTAAATGTAATCACTAGTTGCTAGAAATAAATATTGCAAGAACTAATATGCTGGTTACAGCCTTAAAACTGAACATGTGTACAGTGCATACTGGTTTAAGAGAAAGCTGTTTTATAACATTTTTAATTATGAAATTTCTTATGCAACCGAGTTAAAGGGTCATTTATAAACAATCCAATTCCAAAGCTTCCTTAGGCAGTAACTGACCTATGTAATTTCTTGTAGCTTAAGCTTGACTCAGTCCAGTCTCACACCAAACAAGATTTGGGAGCTGGAATACAAAGAATGCTGATTCAATGTACAGTTCATAGTATTTCTTTTCCACTCACAATTCAGTGAAGAAGTTTATGAATGGCTCCTGTGTCCCGTATTTTTGAAGTTGCTTAGTAGAAGTGAGGCAGCTGTGCTGCTTGCTTTGGCAGGAACATCTGCCATATCCCAGGCACCACTGGCAATAGGCAGGCCATGCTGACTCAGAATCTCCCCATTCCTTATTTCTGGTATGGAACTGAGACTTCTGCTCACTTTTTGAAGAAAAAGTAATTTTCCAAAATCACTTCGTGGGAGCAAACAGCCAAAGAGCATTTCCTACAACATAAGACTGAGTCAGAAGTTTTCACCCTTACAAGCAGCTGTGCCTTCCCTGAGCTTGCTTCTACCTTTGAGGGAATCTAGCAAAAACTGTTGTTTTGTTAGTTTTTTCTTTTAAAGCCAATTTTAAAGACAGTTAACTTTGGTTTTATTACAAAGCTTTTATTAAAAAACAAATGCTCAGCACATTAACTCAAACTGGAATGACAAAAAAAAATTGGTTGACAGTATTTTTGGCAAAGGCTGTGCCTTACTATTTTAAAAAATGGGTACATCAATGCTCATTTCAACAACTGGCATAAAATCCCACTAACAGGCTAACAAAAACAGATACAAATACAGAACAATTGAAGTAATAATTCAAGTGCTGGGCTTTTTACAAGGAGAAGGGGAATGGGTGAGAAGGAGAACTCACTGCAGTCAGATTTGCTGGATGTATTGCTTATGTTTACAGAGTAGATGATGCAAGACTAACATGTCTACTGACCAGCTGACTGTTGTTACATTTATTTAGTTCTATAGGACACTGTATTATATAGACTGAGAGGCCACTATTTGTTACAAATAGTTTAACAAAACAGCCAACCTTTTTTTCCATACAGATTTTTCCTCTGGCAGAAAAAAAACCAAAAAAAAAAAAACAAAAGAAAAACTCCTTTTATTTAAAAAGTATTTCAGATTTCTGACACTTGTTTAAAAGCTCATACCTAGTAAAATATACACCAAAGAAATTACAAACTAAAAGTTAAAATATAAAAGCATTCAAGTTTCTTAAAAAAAGCTAAAACCAAAATTGATCCTGTCGCACCATTAAATAAAAAGAAGGTTGAGCGCGTCATTCTGGTCCAGGCAGATTCCATTCCTCGATGTGCTGTGTGGGGCAGCTGTGGTCTACGTTATTCTGCTGGCTGAAGCAGGCAGAGACAGCCATGCTACTGTGTTTGCTGACTCAATATGGACACAGATGAGACAGGGGCTTAAGAGTGCAAGGCAGAGGTGAAGACAAAAGCTGCTCTGCTGACCCAGGAGCTCATTTGCTCTATTTATATCGGGGCTGGACCTCTTGATAGTGAAGGATTTTGGCAGTGATTGTCTTTATGATTCAGTGTCTCTAGCAGTGACATCAGGGTGAATGACATCCTAGACAGACTCCTTGGGGGTGGTCTGTGCGGATGAAGGACACACCTAGGGTTTAACAAGCTTCCATCTCCAGAAGGGGTCCTGGTGTCGCCGCCTTTGCTTTGCAAGTTGAGAAAGCATTTCTTTTCCCACCTACAGGGAAGAGGGGAGGGGCAAAGAGAGAGAGAAAGAGATATAAAGACTATCTGAAGCCTTTAAAAAAAAAATTTCTCAAAACAAGCTGGTGATGGGTCACTGAAACTCTTACAACTGTATTAGTGGAATGTGCATTACAATGTCAAAGTTAAATGCAGAATTTATTACTACGTGCTTTTGCTTGAAGTTTGCAACTGTATTTATGGAAAGTACTTTGGATTATAAAGAGATACCAACTAGAAAGGTGGGGTTTTAAACATCCAGCATATTACAGAAGTACTTCCCTTTTGTAGTGGATTTCATTTATCTACAACATTTGACCCAGATACCATTACAAAATTAGACATCCTCAGGCTTTAGTACTGCAGTGCAGTGGTTGAGGTCAATTAAACCTCTATTTCAGAGCCTCGAGCTCTACTCCCTGCAGACATGAAAAAATGCTGTCTTCTGCAAGCAGTTTGGTAGAGGAATGTGGTGGATGAGGCTTGTGTGAACACTGATTCTACCATCCATCCTCATGACTGGGGAGGATTTGTTCTGTTCTTCAGCAGGGTAGGGAACATCTCCCAGCTGTGTAAGAACCATGGGCCTCCTGCCTAGCAGTAAAGTTCACTAGATCTTGGAAGGATTTATATTCTTAGAGCATGTGAAATGACACACAGTACAGGCCTAATAGGAATTGCTCATCTAGAGAAGAACAGTTTTTCCTCACTAGATCTCTGGGTTACATCAGCTGATTTAAGAAATTGCTAACTCAACCATCCCCCTTGCCCTTCTGATCCAGGCAAATGGGTTATAACAGGGTCTCCACCCAAAGTCTCTCTGATGAGTCAGATGTTTTTCCACATATGGACTCACGCTCTCCAGTAACTGGGGATTACTGGTATCTCAGAAAAATCAACATTAACCTCTAAGTCTCCATGTACTGCTCAACTGCCAACTTCTAAACAAGTAGAAGGTTCAATGAGCAACGCTTCTGAGAGTGATCAAAATTATCACGAGAATGGATTTAAGTGGAGAAGGTAAACGAATTTTCACCAGAAGAAACATAAAATGCTTAGTCACATAAAGAAGATACGCTGCCAGCACCTTGAGTCATGCAAGGCAAGACAGAAAAAGTTTATGAAGAAATGGTTTAAACCACAAGTCAAACTTTTTATACTAATCATGATAGATAGACTGCTTAAGCCTGCAAGAGCCACAAGCTGAATTAGTCAGCAAATTTTACATTACATTTCAGCAGTATTTAAACCAAAGCCATTTATAACTGAGCACTCACCTCCCATCTGCTGCAGCTTCCGTGTAAACCATTACAACACAAAGTGTTTCACTCATTGTGGCTGAGTAGCGTGGCAGCTCCTGAGTGTAAGGAGTTACACTGCCTCATGTAGTCCAGGGTAGAAAGCCTCTAAAACTGATTTTGTATCCTTTGATTTTAATCAGCATAAGGTAAGGCCCCAAAAGCTTACTAAACAAGTTGACTCCTTATCAGAGGCCACCCATGTGGCTATTGTTGTAGTGGAAAGTTGAGGACACTTCAGTTTAGCTGCATACTAAGGTAGAAGACCAGCATGAATTTGTAGCAAACTGCTCTGTATAGCTTAGATTTGATGCAGACTCCCTTGTCACCCAAACATTGCCATCCCTGGTACATAAGGAATAACTTACACCTGCTGCTGGTAGCCACAAAAGGACTTAAAGCTTCTGAGGCCTCTTAAACAGCACAGCTAGAAGTCCACTGGCAAACCAGCAGTTTCAACAGAGGTGGTCTGTATTGACTAATTCAGTTCCTATTTCCTCATAAAACCAGCCCATGTCCCAACTAAAAAAAGCCTCCCGAGCTTCCTGCCTTTTTTTTTTATTATTTTTTATAAAGTAGCGCAGTGCTCCGTAACACGTGCGGATCAAAGAGCTACGAAGGGCTCTACCTTTCCAAGGAGCACGAAAGAGAGGCCAAGCAAACAGCAGAGAAACACTGGGGAGAGCACCCTGCAGCTTTATATTTATTTTGTGCCTTTTCATCCCGGATTTTCAAAGGTTTGGTCCAGGTTGCTCTTCCTGGGAAGGTTTTCCTCTCAGTCTTACATGAAAACATTCAGCTTCCTGTTGAGGAATGGCCTTGAGGCGCCAGGCCAGTAGTTCACAGCAGTCTGATACAAGCGCTGTGATTCAGAGCTACTCCCCATTAGCAGCCAGGAATGTCTACTTCACTGAAGGAAATGAAATGCTCTTCTGTTGAGATGGTTCCCTGCCTCCTCCCCCCTTCCCTTACCAGCAAGCTGTCTTTGAAGTCAGGAGGTTAAAATAACGACCGTGGCCTTGCTCTGGCCCTCGGCTTTTTCCGACAGCGACCATTGCTCCTTTCTCAATCCTGAGGCAGCTTTTGCAGTGCCTGCCTCCTTTCCATAGCTCCTAACTATGCCCAGCTCCTCTAGAGAGGCTGCAGACAGCACGGTGATTCTGGAAGGGGACAGGCACAGGGAAGCCCCACATATTTTTATTTCCTAGCAGTACAGCAAATTACACAGTAGCTGTCCTGAAAACAGCATCTCGAACCCAGCCTTTCCCCTGCCGCACATTAAGGCTACACGCTGGAAATTGCTTCTACTGCTGATAAACCAAATAATACCTAAAAAATATGAGTGATGATGGTGTTGCCTTACAGATATAAAACAGGTCAAATCAGGATTCTTTTCATGAAACCACAGGCATGTGCTAAGGAGACTGAAGACTTCCCACATCTAAGGCTTCACTGGGGGGCTGCAGCTGAAGTCTCGCCAGGCAAGGCATGCCCTAGCAAAGCCCAATCCACAAGTGAAGTCGGCACAAATCAAAGACTGCAATTACAGCTCCCTGGCTGTGGTTAGGCTTCAAAGAAAGTGCTGCGAGTCACATTTTACATATGTGAAGTCTTGAGCCTGAGCCACAATAGGAGGCACTGTCTGTGCCATTTGCAGTGTACATCTGACTGCAGGAGGAAAGGGGAAAAAGAAAAAGAAAACAACACCTCGAGAAAGAAACAGACATAAGATTCAAGAATAATGCAGTGCAAAAAGAAAAGCCTTACTACTGAAGTGATAAAACTGTATTTCAGGAATTGCTACAGTAAAACTAAAGTCTCCTAGCAAGCCTGGATTCAGTGGCTGAGGGGATCACAAGGAGATCTGAAGTCCTCCCCGTGCTTTGGAATGAGATGGATTGAAGGGAGGGTCCACAAAGGTCTTGTTCGCCTCCTCTGGTCTTTTAACTTTTATAGAACAAGGGAGAGAATTATGCAGCTTCATCCACGTTATGCTAATCAGAAAAGGTTATTGAAGGAAGTCAAGAGTGTCTGGGCCACTACAGGAATAAGTATGGAGTAAAAGAGATACCTAACCCTTCACACAGGGCAAGGGATATTAAACATTTTAAATGAGGTACTTTTTTTCTACACCTTTCCCTACATACTGTTTGGATACAGTTCTAAGAAGAGACAAGACTGCATACAACAGGGAGTTACATGTTTTGTTTTTTTTTTAAAGAAAACATTCATCTCCAAACCTGTCTTTTAATCCAGTACTTCAAACAACATGGCAAGTTCAGGGACCCAAAAGCTGAAACTTTAAGTCCAAATTGAACATGTTCAACATACTGCCAGCCATGGTTCATTCAATACTCCAGAAACCCGGCTATGCAAAATCAGCTCATTATTTATCAGGGCAGTTTGTGCTGTTTGTGCAGTCCCTCTGTATTTTCTTTAACAGCAGAGCTGGAGAGGGTTTCAGGCACAAGCAGATAGATGCCGGCGCTGCAGTCTGCTCCTCTTCCTGCCCAGCTGTGCCATGGTTTGTGGGTTTAGCCCAAACCAGATCCTTGAGATGTTCAGGGCAAACACAAACAAACACTCCACAACCCTTGTTGTTTCTAAACAAAAAAAGCACCTCCCAACAAAACCCCAGTCATTTTAGTAATCCAATTTGCTGCAGGGTCCCACAAGCTGTTACAAAACATGGATGGAAAGACCTACGGGAGACAGGAAAAAGCCCTCTCTGCAAGAGCTGGATACCAGCAGGCAGCAGAGGAAACTTTTTAAGCTGCCTTTGTATCCAAAGAAATGACATAAAATTGTACCCTAAAACTGTAACAGATGCTGCCATGTTGAAACTATGTTAGTATAAAGCTTTTCTTAGTCTGTCCAACCCCTCCATCCCCCTTGCTACTTTTAACCTTGGTCCATTGCTGATAACTGTGAATGGAGACTCCCAATAGCAAATTATTCACTGCTGTTTATCTGCCCCTGAAAATACCTCTCCATTAACTACAGGTGGAGCCTGAAGTCCTAACTTCTGTCCTCATAATTTGACCTCAGCTAGATGCATAAGTGAGCAGCTGAAATATTCCTCCCCCAGCCTTCCCAAGCCAGAGACCTCTTCCAGAGCAGATTAGTCTCAGCATGGAAAACGCCCAGGTATTTTAGGGTTCCCGTTTTGTGCAGCTGATGGCAATGATGCCAAGCAGGTGTGGCTCTTATCAAAGGCCCCCAGAGTAGGCAGCACAAAACTACAAGCTCTATCACTGAGCTAGAATCTTTAAAATTATCTTACTGGAAGACCCAAGACATGTTTTTCCTGTTGGGGGTGGGAGGGGAGAGAGGCTCCATGTTTATAATAAAAACCAGATTGCCTCTAGACAGCTGTCCCTAGCAGCTTCTTAAAGAGGAACAGTACACTAAAGGCAAGGAAGAGGGAGGAAGAAACAGGCTTGTCTCCTTTCTGTATCTTTATGGCATATAATAAATATTCAGAAGACTATTTTTAAAATTATTTGTTTTCTAGACTGAAAGCTAGGGGCACAGAAATTGCTACTTCAGTTTTCACCTGCTGTAACAGAAAAACATGAGGTATTGGTACAGCAATAAGTGAAAATTCTTTCAGAAGAAAGAAGTAAAACATGGGTACAGTTTCCTTTGTAGATAATTTTTTTCTGCCACAATTAAACACAGGTTAGAATTTACACTA